AACACAGGATGATCAGTTGCGTGAATACCTTGAGGAATAGTCAGGGTTCTACTGATTAAATACTTCAGCTACAATTACGTTCAAGAATGGGTAGATGGACAACTAAAAAGTTGTATACAAGCAAATTTGCATCTAAAAAAAAGATTTGATTAATATTGACCCAGAAACGAACTAATCCTTCTCTCTCTTGAACGTATACCTGGTTTCATTTGATTGATCCTGGAATGATCTGGATTAATTTCATTACTAACTGTCCAAATCCTTTTAGAACCTCTTTCTTGGACCCCAATTTATATGATTCTACAATGTTACATAGGAATCTTCGAGTCCAAACCGCACCCTGGACCTCGCATCTGCTCTTGAAATTGGAACTGCAGGAAATAAAGCTTCGAATGACCTTGCTGTTACCAGTGGCACTACAAGATCCGTCATGACTATAGCATTTGAGTTTGCATTTGAAAGCCACATGCAAGATCATGTTGCTTCGATTGCCCGGCAGTATGTACGTAGCATCATATCATCAGTTCAACGAGTTGCATTAGCTCTTTCTCCATCTCACCTGGGTCTGCAAGCTAGTCTTCGGTCTCCACTTGGAACTCCTGAAGCACATACTCTTGCTCGTTGGATCTGCCAAAGTTACAGGTACCTCTTGATAACATCATTCTTGTTTGTTAGTTTTATTTTGCAATATATGATTTCACATTGAAGATTCTGGGCGACTTCTAAGGCCAAGGTTTGTGCTGAGAATGCAACTGACTACACAAACATTAAAGGAATGCTTTTCTGAATTTCATTCGCTCTCCTCCTTAATAGGAGCTATATGGGTGTTGATCTTCTCAAATCTGCTGGTGAAGGGAGTGAATCGATCCTCAAAGCTCTGTGGAATCACTCTGATGCTATTATATGCTGCTCCATGAAGGTAACTTTCTGATTCCAGGTTTTCTTCCTTTGTTTTCCCTCCAATACTTGTGTAAGCAAAATAATTATCAAAAGCTTGAAATATTTGTTGATTGCCACTCTTAATCTATCAATTTATTGTTTGATCAATTTATCGGCAGTCGTAATTTTGTTAGTTACATTCCATGTTCTGTAAAAGTAGCATTTTATTGCAAGATGCAAGTTGGAATATGAAGTTGAACTTGCATATTAATTTTTTTTTTAATTTTTATGTCTACTTTTATTTTTATTCTGAAGGCCATTCAGACTTAGGCGAGGGTTTTATTCCAATAATCATAGGGTGAATGGAGGGTTTGGCATTGCCCTCTAACCTATTATATTCTACCCTAGTATATTGATATGAACATTTTTTACATAAAGGGGGATGTTAAACAATCTTAACTCGAAGGAATTAGGCACAAACATCTTTCGGTTGAAGACAAGGAATTGTAGAAAGGATGACATAAATAAGAGGATCTATTTATTTAATTCAATTATGGGACTGTCCTTTTATCCAGTCTAATCAACCCTGTGCGTTCCATTGAAGTCCCTAGCTTGTAGCATTCTTGAAGGATTTCTCTTTGTACCCATTATTTGTGAGCACTCAGCTACTTTGTTCTTTACTTGAACTTGCATGTTTGGGTATGTAGAACTCGATAGGATTGGACTATACCATGAACGTAATTTTAACATCTTTTCTTTCTTAATAGTATCTAGTACCATCCTACCCCCTTGCCAAACATGCTAATAGATGCTGGTAGGTAGCATAGCTTCATAGTTTTCCATTTTATCTGACTTTAAAAATTATGCAGGCAATGCCGGTTTTTACATTTGCAAACCAGGCTGGTCTCGACATGCTTGAGACAACCTTAGTTGCCCTTCAAGACATATCTCTGGAAAAGATATTTGATGATCATGGAAGGAAAAATCTCTGTTCCGAGTTCCCACAGATAATGCAGCAGGTTAGTCATTCCCCAATTTGACAAATACATGCCAAATATAGATGAAATGGGGGATTTTGCGGGAAGTGGTAGAATATGCTATTCGGACTTTTAGCAATTGAAACAAGGAACGGAGGACCGGACTACAAGCCGAGCTAATATGTAAAAATAAAATAAAATTACACATGCACCAAAAAAGTTAAGTGGGCTAGCCCGGTCCAGTCCCCCATTACATCCGTCCCTGAGTGAAATCAATAAACTTCTGTCCATTTTTCGTCTGACCGAAAAAACTTAAAATTCAATAAACTGATACACGTCTAAAATGACTAAACTGCCTAGTGTGTGCTTGTATCCTTCCCTCAATCGGTACCCTCCTTTTGTGTTATTTCATGATATCTCTGGGTAAGTGGTCCCCAAGAATTTTGGACAGTGGAGCGTAATTATATTGCTCACTTATGCCCTACCACATATTTACAGTGGGTAGTGACCCCCGTGCAATTTTTTCTCTAAGAGTGAGGTGAGATCTCTAGTAAATGTCTTCTCAATTCAATGAATCTGCAGTGAACCATTATTATGTGCACGCCTCAATTCTTATGTTCATTCATTATTGCTCTCGGGTTTGGGATTGGCTTTAACCCGTAATCGAGAAATCACATAGGAACAATTGTGTTATACTTTTGGCGAAGGGAGGGATCTTATTTTTCATCTTGGCACTTTCTGTTGACAGGGTTTTGCATGTCTTCAAAGTGGTATCTGTCTGTCGAGCATGGGGAGGCCCGTCTCTTATGAACGTGCAATAGCTTGGAAAGTTCTGAATGAGGACGACAATGCCCATTGCATCTGCTTTATGTTCGTAAACTGGTCATTCGTGTAAATTTATGGTTGTGGATTAGAGGAACCAGAACAACTAAGTACTCAAAAAAGAATCTGCTATTTCATCGTACTCTGTTTTTCTTGGCATAGAACCTTAAAAACTCTTGCTTAGTTTGGGTCCTCAGTAATCATACTCTGTTGGCTATTTGCTGTTATTCTAGTTTAGCACTTGTTTGATCCTTAATTTTTTTCAGAATATATTTTTCTTTCTTCTTTTCAACCACATGTTCTTCCATAAATTAATATTATACGCAAATTCAAAACTTTTCCTTATTTTTTAATCACACATTCTCTATCAATCAACTATTCGAAAATGCATTCTACACATTTTTCTAATAAAAATATAAAGACATATAGTCCCTATTTGGTACCCACTAAATCTTTGTTTATTTAGCCCATGTTTAGCGAAGATTTTTTAAAATTCATTTATTTCAAACTTATTTTCAATTACATATTCTCCTAATAAAAATGTAAATACATGTACAGTGCTAGAATCCTAGCATTACATAGCCACTTCCTCTCT